GGCTGTGCAATTTCTGAGAAAGGGACGAGAAAGAAGCAGATCGAGAGTGTCTAGCAAATGTATTCTTGTAACTGGCAATGTACTCATCGAGTCCGATCGCCAGTGCTTGGAGCACATCAGCAGTCTCCCCGTTCAAACGATATTTAGAACCTTCTTGAAACAGCTTGCGAAGGTTATCGTCTGAGATGATATTGTAATCAACAGAGACAACATGACCGTCCACAAGATCTGAACAATGCGGAAAGGCCCTGCGGCATWCGCAGTTCACRGAGTCYGGTAAGRTCATGTCAGGAGCAACACTCAATGCCACATCAGTAAAGTTGATATATATCGTCAAATATATATATATATATATATATATATATATATATATATATATAGCCAAGGATCCGCAATGTGACGAAAAGGACTGAATGGACAATGCAGTGCTAGTGGAATCTCAACAAGCAATGTACATCCTGATACATACAAAATGACACATAATAGCGCAGGGGAAGACTTAGATATAAGCCCTGACCTGACCGGGACTGACCTCTCTCACATAGTACAAGACAGCGCCGCAGAATGCTAGAATACCAATGACTATCCCAATCAATGTCGCAATGCAGACCAAACATACACCATCCTCATCACAAGGTGTGAAGAGGTCTGGCGCTACACACATGAAGAATGCGCCAGGACCAGACCATACACAAACGAAGAGGAGGGGATCAGAGGAAGAAGAGGGGGGAGATGGGAATGTCATCACCACCAAGTCTTCGGTACAAGTCCCAGATAATCCCTCGTCAAATGTCCGAAGCCCAATGTCGAGTCTGGATCCAAATGTCACCAAGCCCGCTCTCTCGTAGTCTGCTGATGCAGTGAAGTCAGGTAGCAAGGAGGTGAGAGGGAGATGGTGGACTGAGAAGAGGAAGAAGAAACACTCTCTCTCTCATGTGCCAGGTACTAACCTGTGACGATGGCGTTGTGTTGCAGGTACCTTAACGACGAGCCAAAGCTATGGCAGTGCAGGTCAGTATCCCTGGCCTCCGCCCAATCTCTATCTCTCTCCAGTGCTACTCTAGCTCCTAATAGCGCCCAACGCAGAAGACTGCTGCTAGCGCTACTACTACTACTGCAGCGCTCCTCCAGAGTGCTGCTGCCGAATCCTGAAGACTACCTCCTACCTCCTAAACTGCACGCGAAGTGCCTGGAAAGTCCCTATGAACTACCTGCAGCCTGCAGGGCGGGCCAGTCTTATATAGTGCTGGCCCATCCAGGAGGTTGCTCTTGCCAATGCCAAAACGTGCCAGACCCTGGCGTTGAAGCTCAAACAAAGGTTGTCTTGAAAACAGGCCCAAAATGGCCTGTGCTAAAACCTTGGTCTGGTGCCTGAGTTTCAGGGCAGTATGACCGGTTATCAAAATGCATGTCATCTGAACTGGTGAGAAATTTGTGGTTGGGGGCAGCCATCTTCAGGTATGCCCTTACCTTATCTTCCCATCTCAATCTCTTCTTACCGTGAGGAAGTGAGTTCGACTTGAGAGTCCTCTTCTTGGTCAGGAGTTGTGAGCGCTCTACCTCGAGAGTCGACAACCTTCCTAGTGGCGCATCTGGTAGGAGAGGGCGGTGCCTCTGAAGGGCCCTGGATGAAGCACCAGTCACGGTCACTATGCCAACCCACGGGAGTAGTGCACTCAGGCCATGCTGCATTGTCCTTTGAGCTCTTTGCTGCGCTGTAGAGGGAACATGGACTGACCAGTCCTATGCGAGATGTGTTCCAGACCGTCTATAGAGAACCTCTGGCCGGGATCTGATATCTGGCTGTGATCGTCGTCCTGTCTGCGACGTTAAAAAATTACTGAGGGCTTCGGGGGCTGTCCTTAAATTGCCACTTGATCAGCTAGATCATCGGATGTAAGGCTATTGCACACGAGGGTAAACAAAGAGCAGAACTGGTCATAAGTGGATTCCTGGGCACATGGGTGGGCTGTTATGCACACCTTAGACACCGCTGCTTGATGATGCAAGACAGGATCGTCGGATACAGGGGAAGGGAAGGTTCCAATTGTAGCTCGAACACAAACATAATTATTTCCATTTCTGCATACATCTGTGCAAGTGATTTATTTTTATTTTGATTAGTTGAGGTGTGACCGACTGCTAACACCTAACAGACATCATTAGAATAGAGCTGGAGTAGTCTACCAGTGCAAGTTATGTTTGTTGCTACTGTAAGTGGAACTGATCAAAGTAGGAAGAGATCATTTGCCGAGTCTGTGTATATTTTGTTGACACCACCTGATCAGTAGCCTGGTTGACTTGCCAAATATTTATTTATTGTATTTTATTTTTCAACTCGGTCAGACACATGATGTGGTAGGCCCCAGCGAGGGCACTAGTGCAGACAGTGATCTGCCTAGCTGATGAGCGGTACAGATAGTGAGGAAGGAACAACTGAAGATAGGAGGCAAACACGGCGGCTTACACAACAAATTCCCGTTGTGTTTCAAGTCCTGCTACCAGGGGACGAGGCAAGGTTCCAGGCCGAAGCAAGGGCCCAACGTTTGCATAGGGCCAGACAGGCAGCCGCAGAGGCGGAACGTGTGTTAGCAGCAGCAGCAGCAGCTAGTGCTGACGCCATGTCAACTTCAGCGGCGACCTCACAAGGTCAGCCGACCTCAGGACCCTTTGCAATGTCCTTTGTCTCATCCAGTGGGATGAGTGCAGGACCCTCCAACAGTCAGATGGCAGGCTCACAGTACAGAGTGCCACCTCCACCCATTAGGGAGGAGTTAGAACTCCAGCAAGTAGAGCTACTCCGCACACAGTTAGAAAAGCAACTCAGGGATGCTACCAACAGACAATATAAGATTAGAACTCGGAAAGCTACATCACAGAGCACAGCGGCAGACAAAGCTGCATTATAAGGGTTAGATGATTGAGTCCTAGATGATGCAGGAAAGATCATCTGGGCAAGACTGTTGGGTCTCAATGAATATTTTGGCAGATGACTGGATGAAATCTAGTCAACCCTTGACCAGATACTGATTGTCGTGGAGGGTAGGGGAGGACCACTGCCCTCCATACCTAGCGGGCCCAGTATCCGGCAGCAAGCAGCTTTTCCATCGCCAGTTCCATTACTGGCGATGACAGGCCCCTTTGTTCCACAGTTGGTGTCATACCAGGTGGTACGGCAGCGGCAGCAACACAGACTGTTGCTTCTTCATCCTCAGGTCCAGCTGCTGCAGTTGCAGGGCAGCAGCCGGTCCAGCCACCGGCTCAGCAAGCCGGACAGACTGGACCACAGCAACCTTGGTACCCAAAGACCCCAATGAAACCCGACTGTCTTCACAGGAGACAAGAAGGATGAGGCCCTCGACACTTGGTTGAGGACGGTTCAATTGTGGGTAAGGGCCAAGCGTACTCTGTGTGAGGAGGAGGTGATCACTGCCACTTCTTACCCAGACCCAAACTCTAGAAAGCTTTATGGACTTTGTGGAGGTGAGGTGGGACCCTACTCCTGTCGACTCCCTGTATGCAAGCTCTAATCGACTATCCACCTCTCGTTCACGGTCGAAAGACTATTCAAGGTTTACACTAGTAGACTGTTGACGTTACTGACACGAGCGGAATGCAAAGCAAAGACAAAAAGATTGGTTGGTGCACGTATGCTCAACAATTGCCATTATGCCAGAGACCGACTGAGCACTAGGGATCCCACTTGGCAGGTAGGAATCAAACTTCAGTGTGAGCTTGGGGCGCATGTGTGGTTTTTGGCTGGTTTTGTCATCTATTCTCTGTGCCTTAGTCGATCACTGTATGCATTTCAACTTGTTGAGCTTAAGGATATCAATCCTGAGGTCATTTAGTGAAGAAGAGACAAAGGCCACTAAACAATCACGAGTATCACTGGGAATGTTGTGGATGAGTAAAAAAGTATACTAATTGTGTCACGTGTGGGTTTAATGCAATCGCCGCCATTATAGTTTTTCGAATGACTTGTTCAGACTTTGTAGTCATTATTCGAGTCACAAGTGGCGGGTAGATTTTTAGTTGAAAACCACGTAAGTATACAACTATGGGCTCTTGCTTGTGCCACTGACTTACCGTTTTGTTGTGACGTGAGAGCCTTTCTGTTATTCATTATATGTACATTCATATGCTTGTGAGTGACAGTAAATCTGGTTAGCTACCCGTGAAAAAGGAAGTGATCACTCTTAACCGCAGCAGACCCTCTCCCTACGCACGGAACTACTCCGTCATCTGCAGTATACACCAATTACTATTCTTCTAGAGTGGTGTCAGTGGATGCATCTATGAACTGAGCCATCGAGAGCAGTTGTTGATTGTTGTAGGAAATACTCGGGCAGTGCACTCTCTCTGATTTCGCTTCTCGAATGTCAAGGGGCATGCGTGGGTGAAACAAATATGACTTCTCTTTCAACCTTCTACTTACTTCTCTTGTGATCTTTGCTCTCATACCTTGTTCTATGAAGGACTAGTTGGTCATACCAAACTTATATTCTCAGTGAGATTGATGCTTACCCAAGCGTTGTATTTCTCTCTTGAAGGGTTGCTAATGTAAAGACTTATTGGTTGACCCTGGCGAGCTCTGTGATAAGCACTGAACCTTCGGAGCTTATTGACTGAGCTCTGGCCTATAAATCGGAGTATGATATAAAGTTGTTGTTCCTCTCCTGGGGAAAAGATAGACCATGAAACAAAGGAGAGTTTCTACTAATAGCTTCATTGATTTATGTATTTAATTGTGATTATCTGATGGACACGAAACAACACATCTTAAAAAGGATTGCATATTTGCTCGCCAAATTTTGATTGATGGAGATGAATTCCTAGTGTTAGTTACCTCGAATGACTTAGTGAAGGAAAAGAGTGATGGGATAAATATGGGGTTTGACGAGTGCAAAGCTACCCCTATGTCTTAACAGAAGGGTAACAGTGTTTGAAAAAAAAACAATGTACCTTACCTAAGTTAATTTCTGACAAGTATTCGACCTAGATCATGGTTGATTTCACTATGTCGAGCAATTGGGAGCTTTGTCCATCATGATAAGCTTCTTCTTGCTTGATTTATTAACTGCCATATTTATTTTTTGTCTATTTGCGGTATTTAGTAATTCTCCCTCTATTTGAATATTACAGTGAGATCTGATTACTCTCAGTTGTATCAGAGCAAGGGTCTCGCACAGTAACACCTATGTAGTATTTAAATGGGGAGGGGAGAGTGCTATAAGTACTTTGCGTTGTACCTGACCAATAACGCCTCGTACAGTAAGTGGAGGACAATATCGTTGGTAGTGCTCTAGGTTTTACTTGAGTGCTGATGAGCACCAGTGGTATCCTATGCGTTATTCGAGCGGGAACATCATACAACAACTCCTGTGTAATATACAAGCTTGAGCTACGTTCAACAGTATCCAGTGTGTTATTCAGGCGGGCTTACTGCTAGCACTGTTCGGCATACTGTTAAAGTGAGGGGAACTACTAGCAGTATCTCGTGTACAATTGGAGTCGTATTGTCGTTAGCAATACCCAGTTTGTGTTCTCAGTGGAGTTTTACACCTGGTCATACTTTGTGTATTAATCGAGTGAGGTTCATGGCCTGTGTATTATTTGAACTCGAACTGCAGTAGTGCACACTGAAGTACTATCCAGCAACGCTTACCCCATGAACGAGAACAAGTTGTATGTAACTGTATCCTGGGTGGATGGTTGTTATAATCAGGAGAACACTCTCACAGGTACATGAAATGAGTTTTTCCCACATTGCTATCCACATTGTACTTTTATAAGAAGATGTCGAGTACGACTTGATAACACTCTTCCCATTGTCAGTTATTTCTTAGTTTATTTGATCCTATATACTCGACTTTTAATTCAAACACATACTCGTTAACTATTGAAAAACATAGTGCAGGGTAATAAATTTTGAGAGGCATAATTCTCAGAATTGCTACCTGTGAAGCAATTGGGTAGTAAAAACCGTACGAAGCATTCGAGCAGGGAAAGTTGTGATCAGTCCCCCTGTTTTGCATGTGCATGAACCCTATGCGACTTCACACTCTACTGGTAAAAAGTTTACAGCCAGCATTTTGCTGAGAGTGTTAACACAACTAGTAACTCGTCGAGAGCTTGACCAGCAAGTCGAAGCTGATTTGAAGTTGAGTGGCTAGCAAGTTACTGATTGATTGAGAAAACAGGGTATCAAGGTCCTACAGGAAACATTAATAGTGACAGTTAGCAGTTAATAGCTCGATTCTAATGATTTCTTGCCAGTGAGACCGTTGCTGTAGCTAATTAACAACTATAAACTTTCAAGATTACGACATATCATTAGCGACTTTAATCTTTTCTTCAGAGTTCATGTAAGGGAAAACCATCCTTTTCTTCTCAATCAACTACCTGGGGGTTGTGGCGGATAACAAATGGAAAGAAGCATGGCAAGCAGAAACACTCTCATGATGCTCAGCACCCTCTACCGAGACAAGGCAGAAAGTGGGGCAAGTGAATCATTTGATGAGATCGGAATCTATAGGAAGGTGCAGAGAGATGTTGCAGTTCGAAGAGTAAAGAATCGACATGAGTTCATAGAGTATGTGTTCTACATCCATGGGTCCGATGGGGAGCTGCACAACACAATCTGATCCCTTGAGGCTGTTCAAAGAGCAAGAGAGGTAATCAATGCTCAGTGGGCTTAGACCAGAGCAATACCTACCCTTGAATCCTCTCCAAAGATCCTTCGAGCAGTCAACTTCAGCAGCGAAGCATCTTTACATTCAGCAACATCACCAATTGCAGACAACAATCAGCTCTTTCGCATTTTGTATCACTATTAGTATCAGTTCAGACAAATAACCATTGACAAAGTTTGAGGGGACTCAAGATATCCCCTCATGACCTCAGACCAATTCTTCTTGGCAGTTTCAGAGTGAGCTACCCCATACTTCCACAACGAAGATCAGCAATCAGAACTAATCGACACAGCTGTCAGATCAACATCAATCAGTCAGTGCTTTCATTAGAGATATTCAGATCAGTTTCACTACCCTTCTCGGCACATGAGTACAATTCAGTCATTTCCGGTGGGTCTATCTTGACCAATCTCAATAGGATAGCGTCCAAGGATGCTTTCCAGTACCGATATGTCAGTGTAGTCGGTTTCAAACAAGAAGATTTGTCAATCTTTGTAATTCTCACAGAGTTTGCAGAGAGAACTATTCAAGACTTGAGAATTATGTAAAGAAGGGGAAAAAGACTCATAATCACTTTGATTCTGGTTTGATTATGGCAGCCCGGTATGTTGAGGATAGAGCACGGGTGCTTCAGGAGAGTGCAAAGCTGATTCATAACTTTGGTCGTAAGTTATACTCTGATTACCCTAGGGCTCCTGCTGCTTTTTACCTCACTGATGGTTCTTACTGGGATGATTTGGTTGACCTGGCCAAAAGGTACGTTTCACCAGTGGAGATTGACTATGAGGCGGTGATTGAACCATCAAAGTTTCGACACCTTAGGCAAGGGATCTTCTCAAGACCACATCTCCCTACGATATGGAAGGAGTTATGTGCTACGCTTGATTTTCAAATTTTTGGCCTTGGATGGACTCATTCGGAACTCATGGGCTTTAGGTGGTTCTACATCACTAGACCACAATCTCAAGCGATACCTAGACGTGGCTCAAGGCGCTCGAGACGAACAGTCAAGAATGAATAGAGGATGAGACTTGAGAGGGATGAGTGAGGACTCTAGACGAGTGCTAGCCATGTCTTTTCATTTGTACCTTTTGAGATTATTATGAGTTTTCACCTTCCCTCATCCATCTTGTCTTTGCCTTGAGTCAGTCAATTCTGATCTTGTTTCATTGTTATTGTTTACCGATTTGTTGTTTGTTGGTCATGTCACAGTTCTCAAGTTCCTAAATTGATAATCATGATGTGTTGTGCATTTTATTTTAATTTAATAATTGCATAATTGCATTAGATGTTCCGAATCACAATCAAAGATTCCTAAGACCGGGGACCGGCGTAGACCGCAATTGAAGGGTCTCGCTCGCAGCTGGACGAATGCAACAGGAAGGGATTTACATTAATTTATTTATTTACTGCAAAAATTCATCAAAATCCTGCATGACAGCCTGTTGTCTTTCCAGTCACCAGAAGTTGCCCGATTGGAAAAAGTGTGACACCGCACGTTCGAAGGAAGTCGCACCCCACGCAAGTCACGTTGGTCGACGGTCACACCCACAAGTCCATCGACTGGTGCATTTGACACGGTGCCCATGAGCTTCCCCCCGCACCCACGTGAGGCTGTGTCCTTCGACATCTTGGACACCACGTTTGACATGATCTTGGGCAAATGAGGACCACCCGGTGAACTTTTACCGTCACACCGTTCACATTCGTGATGGGAACGACATGTTAGTCTCATGCACGGTTCCTCCACCTCACCCTTCGATTGGTTGTCACCTGGTTTCCACGGTGAGCATTCACAACTCCATCGCACAACACGACCTTGAAGAAATGGGTCTTTGCTTCTTGCATGTCATCCCTCCATCAGACGAGCCAGCATTGGAAGGGCCACCGAACCCACGAATTGTAGAGCTTCATGATCCCTTCGGCGACACCTTCGAAGCCCCTGCCGAAATCGTACCGGATCGGCCTATTTGCCACAAGATCATCCTCGAGGACGGGGTCATACCTCTGCGTGGTTGTATCTACCACATGAGCGAGGAGGAACTTGAGGTGCTTCGTACGCAGCTCAACGACCTCATTGGAAAGGGTTGGATTCGCCCTAGCTGCTTGCGCTAAGATGCAACCGTTCTCTTTGTTTGGAAGAAGAAAAAGGATTTGCGGTTTTGCATTGATTATCGCAAACTTAACGCACAAACTGTTAATGTTGGCCCGCTCCCACGCATTGACAACCTTCTTGAATGTTTGGGCGACGCCACGTACTTCTTGAAGTTGGATCTCAATCCGGTTATCACCAAATTGGGATCCATTCGCGGGACCGGTACAAAACCGAGTTCCCGACGCGGTATGGGCATTTTGAGTGGGTCGTAATGTCGTTCGGCCTCACGAATGCCCCGACTACTTTCCAAGCGGCAATGACGACGAAGTTTCGCGACATGTTGGATCGGTTCGTGCTCATCTACCTCGACGACATCTTGGTTTATAGTACCTTGGACGAGCACCTCACGCACCTACGCACCGTTTTGGAGAGGCTACGTAAGGCCAAGTACAAGGTCAATCGAGCCAAGTGTGAGTTCGCTCAACAAGAGCTCAAATACTTGGGTCGTCCGCTTGCAGACAAAATTCAGGCCATCCAAGATTGGTCGGAACAAACCAACACCACGGAGGTTCGCTCCTTCATGGGATTGGGCATGTACTATCAACACTTTATCCGCGGATATGCACGGATCGCCGCACCTTGGTCACGATTTCAGTGTCCGAAGGGGTGCACTTCCACTTCACCGACGAAGTCCGGAGTTCGTTCCACAAGTTTAAGATGACGATGCTCATGGCTCCCGTTTTGAGCATGTATGACCCAACCTTGCCTACAAGAGTGACTGCGAACGCTTCGGGCTACAACATTGGTACAATCTTGAAACAGCACGACAGCGAAGACTGGCACCCAGATGAATACTTCAGCCAAAAGGTGGCCCCCATCAACTCGCTTGATGACACGAGGAAGAAGTTGATGGCCTTTGTCATAATACTAAAACGATTGAGACACTTCCTCTTCGGGTGTTGTAAGTTCATTTGGGTGACGGACAACAACCCATTGACCTACTACAAGACGCAAGACACGGTGAGTAGCATAATCAGAAGATGGATGTACTTCATCAACCAGTTCGACTTCACACCAAAACACATCTCGGGTCTCTCCAATCGAGCGACAGATGCTCTTTCACGAAGAGTCGGTCTATGCGCATTGATACACCACGTCTTCGACTTCGACGAAGACCCTACATCAGCATTTTGTACGTGCAGACAAGACAAATCCAGACTACACCACTCTTTACGAGTAGCTTTCTTCGACCACCCGTCGGCTAGCCACTACAACATTGTCGACGAGTATTTGCTTCTCCATTCTGCATTCGCGCTTTAAGTCCGTTACGTGATAGTAATTGGCGGGACCACGGAGAAGTCCAGAGATACGTGACACAGAGTTTCTTTGTGCATCTTGGAAATAAAAGAAGTTGGGTTTAGGGTTCCCCAATTTGTCACAAAAACTTAAAGCTATTAGGTGGTGAATCACTTTCCACGAATCAACGAGTACCATTTTCCAACAAATTGAAAAATGCAATTATATGATTTACCCGTAGGTACACGAAGAGATTGTTATGATCGTTATTGTGTCACCATTGGAGGAATGCGACAAAGTCTTCGAATCATTGTATCCTTACGATCAGACTTGAATTGATAACCCGTAGGAACAAATTTTAAGTCTGTCGTGTTTATCATTTTCACCAAGTGAAGTCTTCGAATCATTGCATGCTCACTATCAGACTTGAACTGATAACCCGTAGGAACAGATTTTAAGTCTGTCGTGTTTACCATTTTCACCAAGTGAGGTTGATTTCAAACTAAACAAACTCAATAATGCAAAACACGGCAGGACGCCCTTAGCATCTATATGTTTGATGATTGATTTTCAAGAGTTTCTATTGAATAAACTCACCATCGTCAAAAAAAAAAAAAAAAAGATTTGAAATATGTATTTACTCATCTTGGATGAGTTCACTTATTTATATTGGAATGGCTATTAGTAGTGTGTTATTTCTTCTTACTATACATCTCATTTTTCACTTATTTTCAAACATTAGTGTGACGATCGGATAGTTGATTCCATAGGAACTCTTGAAAATCAATCATCAAACACATAGATGGCAAAGGCGTCCCACCGTATTCTGCATGATTGAGTCTGTTCAGTTTGAAATCAAACTCATTTGGTGAAAATGGCAAACACGACAGACTTAAAATTTCTTCCTACGAGTTATCGGTTCAAGTCCGGCCAGAAGTGACATATAAAAGATCCTTCAATTGTCGCCATTGTTGGCTAGTCATACCACTACAAGGAAACAAAATAGTACACGAAAATATTTTTTCAATATGTTGTGTTTGTTTCTTAATAAGCGTTTTTCTTATTTTCATCAATTTTGATTGACTTTTTTCGCATCCAAAGCGTGTTTTATTGAAGTTCATCATACATACTAAATAAACAAAACGGGTATTAGTTTCATAACTTTCATCATTCTTGGAGTGGCAAATTCACACGAAAACATAATTTTATTTTTTTGTAGTATGAAAATAGAATTTACCCAAAAATGAGTACCTAAACCAATCATGCGACACAATTGTGTTAATTTAAATAAACTTTGAACATCATTTCAATCAAGGTTTTCCTCCTTTATGTCACCACGAGGTTCATACTATATCATCATCCCAAGTACGTCTGGCATGTAATCGTTGAGGGGCGCAACGCACTGAAGATATGGTTGGTCATAAATTTGGGAAATTTGGTTCTACACGTAAAACTTTCAAAAACAAAAACAAAACAAAAAAATAGGAATACATCCGCCCCAGCACACTGAAACTGTGGACCAAATTTCTTCAGCGTGCTTCTTTTGAACTCATGTAATCAGTTTCCCCAGTGGACTTTCAGGCAACCTCAGGAAACGAAGTGGGCGAAGTCGAAGGCCTGACTGCAAGAAATCCCAAACGGACAAAAAAAGACCTAAAAGGCTGAATAAAAAAGTAAGTTTTTAAGCGAGACATTGAAAGATGTTATGCACAACTCGAACAGGGACGAAAGTCGGCCATAGTGATCCGGGGGCCCTTTGTGTGGAAGGGCTCTCCCTCAACGGATCAAAGGTGGAGCTTATACAACATGAGCCAGCTCGAAGAGAGGTCGTTTTCGTGGAAGCAATGCCTATTGGAAACAGATACGAATTTGGATTTTAATGTGCTCAAACCAAAAACAAATAAAAATAAGTGGTATAAAGCTAGGCTACCAGCCAGGCCGCCCGGGTCCCGGGTGGCCAGCCTGTACAAGGATCGAAAGATGTTATGCACAACGCGAACAGGGACGATAGTCGGCCATAGTGATCCGGGGGCCCTGTGTGTGGAAGGGCTCTCCCTCAATGGATCAAAGGTGGAGCTTATACGAGATGAGGCGGCTCGAAGAGCAGTCGTTTTCGGGGAAGCAATGCCTATTGGAAACAAATACGAATTTGGATTTTAACATGCTCAAACCAGAAACAAATAAAAATAAGCGGTATAAAGCTAGGCTATCCGTCGGGCCGCCCGGGTCCCGGGTGGCCAGCCCGTGCAAGGATCCAAAAAGGTCCCAGCAAAAAAAAAAAAAAAAAAAAAAAAAACGAAAAATCTGAAAAAAAATTATGTTATGCAGAAAAATAAATCGAACAACTTCTGCCTCAGGGTCACATCGAAATTCTTTACTAAATTAAAAATAAAATATAAAATATAAAAATATTTTATTTTTATTTTTATTTTTTTATTTTTTTGGCCCGGCCGGGCAAGTGACCCCGGGCCACTTTGGTAGCCTAGGTATAAAGTAAATTTTCTAAAGTTTCCAGATTCGTCTAACTTTGTATTTTGGAAGCACTGGCGTCAATGGTTTTTTGGTGATTGGCCCTCGGTCAAACCAACCAATCGGAATGCAATCGAAAAACCATATATATGTCAGAAGAAAGAAAAGTGGTGATGTCTGAACGATATGGATTATGAATTTAAACCACCACTACCACCGATCTTGTTTTTATCGACCCTGAATTTCACTACACACCGAGTTTTATCAAGCCTGGATCCCATTGTATGTTCTTTTCTGGTACTCAATAGAAATGAAAAAAAAAAAAAAAAAATAGAAGGAAAAAAGAAACTAGTACACTAAGGAGTCAGGACATGAAAGCAGGTGGAGGGCGTTACATCCCTCAGCAAATCGAGGCGTAGGAAACAAAGACAAAAAAAAAGCAACGACTCTTTGGACAAGAAAGCAGTTGGATTAAAAAAAAAAAAGCAACGACTCTTTGGCCGAAACCTGGACATGAAAGTATGTCGTACGAGCTGGGTGTTACAACCCTCAACAAAACACGGCTCTGCATGAAAAAAAAAAAAAAAAAACACAACAACTCCTTAGGCGCAAAAACCGTTGGAAAGAAAATCTTCAGTACATGTGAGATTGGAGCCTCGTCGGTTGAAGGTGTCAGCTATCCATGGAAAGTGCCCTGCCTCGTTGGTAAGGCAATAAAACCAAATGATAAAAAAAAAAACAGAACATAAAACAAGCAAGGAATTTGGGCAGATGCATTCCTAGAAGCACTACTATGAGCACACCTCCTTCACAGCTTCCCCCCGGACGTCCCCACATTCAACTATGCAACTTTTTTTTTTTCCCTCTTTCAGTTGCAAGTGTCAGTTTTCCGTGGAAAGCGCCCTGCCTCGTTGGCAAGGAACTAAAACAAAAAGAGAAGGAAAAAAAAAAAAAAAAACAAGCAAGTATTTCGGGCACATGCATTCCTAGAAGCACTACTATGAGCACACCTCCTCCATGGCTTCCTCCTCGACATCCTTCCATTCAACTATGCAGCTTCAATTTTTTATTTATTTTTTCTTTTCAATTGGGTCCACAAGGCCCAAACGTTTTCTTCTCGTCAACCCGTTGCTAGACCCCCGAAAAATGCGGTGTGACGTATATTCCCAATTTTCCCAACACTGGCTAAGGTAGTGGTGGTTTAATGAAAAGAAAGTGGCGGCAATCACAAATCGATGGCAGGGTCGCAGCCTAAAAAAACTAATTAGGCTAAAAAGAAACGAAGAGAAATTTATTGATTGCAGTCATGCTTTTCAGCAGACGAACAAGAACCTTTCTCCGGATAAGATCCGTGGGGGTTTGAATTGAAAGAGGCAGATTACCAAATTAATTGGGAACAAGATGTGAAACGACATCTCGTTGCAACACAGGCTTTAGTCTCTACGAATCCCAAACAGCTTTGCGATCTCCAACTAAAAAAATCATAGTAAGATCTCCAACTAAAAAAATCATAGTAAGAAATTCATCGTGGAAAACCAGTTATCTCCGAGTTTGACTGACCTTTTACAATGAAGCAATTAATTCGCCATGGTAAAGAATCAAAATGACGCAATTAACGTACAACAAAACACCAAATTTGAGGACAAAAAAACGAAAAACAAAGAAAAAGCGCGAAGCTTAGGGAAATTTGCATACATATTTTCAAGGCTTCAGTCACTTGTATGCAAATAAATTATGTTTTTCAACCATCGACATCGAATAAGCTAAATCACTACTCAATTTTTAGTTTGGAATTGTTGTCGCAATTTGAAAATTCGACTTATTTTCGGTGATTCATCAATTAACAACTAATGCAAATTCCTTTCAAATAATTGCATTTTCAATTTCCTTACGGATTCAACGAGTAGGTTACGTCACTTTACTCGTTGATACGCGGAAAGTGACTCACCGCTTGGCATAAGACCATGTCTCCACTATGCAGTTGAACGGG